CACACACACACACACACACACAAATAAATAAATAAAATTAAAAAAAAAATAAAAAAATAAATATGTATGCTTACCAAATGTGCTTTTATCACATAACAAACATCTCACTTCCTCTGTGAGATTATTATTTTGTGAATGCTATTCACAAAATAACATTTATGTAAAATGTAGTGCATAGTGTTCCACAAGTACGGGATGTGGCTTTGAAGCTGTGCCATGAACGTTTTCTTTCACTGCCAGTGTATCACTGCACCTTTTTGCCTTTTTACTCAGTGTTTCCTGTCAATGCTGTGAAGTTCCATGGCCCCACTGAAGGGTGTGGTCTGAGACCTCTAAGTCAGGTCCCACAGCCTCTGTGGACCTCCCTTCAGTCTCTGCTTACTGTCCCTGGGCTCCACTGGGCCTTGGAGGAAGGAACTCAGCCCAGGGCCTGGGTGAACACACACACACACACACACACACACACACACACACAGATAGAGAGAATATCAAATTTATTTATAAGTAATTCACTTAGTTTTCCAGAGCAAAGCCTAACATTCGTTAAAGAAAAATGACAAAATCCAGATGCTTAATATTTACAATGTCTAATATCCAGATAAAAATTCTAGTCATGCCAAGAAATAGAGGCTGTGCCCCTCTTCCCCTACCAATTACTTTATGCCCTGTCTCCGAAGTTCCTGTCCATGTCATTGGTGCCAGCTTATCATGTAGGTCTTTTCCACAGTCTTGGGAAGTGGGCCAGGTGGCACAGCCAGAGGGTAGCTGCCTGCTGAAGGACTGTTTTGCTTAGGTCAGCTGCCTCTGAAGTGACTTGTGCTACCTCTTCAACTCCTCCTGCAGGTGGACATCGAGCAGCTGGATCCCCGTGGCCGGACTCCCTTGCACCTGGCTACCACACTGGGGCACCTGGAGTGTGCCCGTGTGCTCTTAGCACACGGTGCTGACGTGGGCAGGGAGAACCGCAGTGGCTGGACAGGTGGGCACTGACAACCAGGGCTTCCCCAGCATGAGGTACTCACCTCAGGTTGGCCGAAGGGTCCTGCCCTGTGACATCACCTTCCCTCCCCAGTGCTTCAGGAAGCTGTGAGTACCCGGGACCTGGAGCTGGTACAGCTGGTGCTGAGGTACCGGGATTACCAGCGGGTGGTGAAGCGGCTGGCAGGCATCCCTGTGCTCCTGGAGAAGCTGCGCAAGGTGAGGCTCAGCCACCCAGCCTTGCTGCTGGAACACTCGCACCCCATTTCTAGAGCGAGCTTAGCCACTCTCCTTTCCATCCTCTAGGCCCAGGACTTCTATGTGGAGATGAAATGGGAATTCACTAGCTGGGGTAAGAGGGGCTGAATGGGGGCCCCTCTGACCTTGGGGTTTTTGCACTTGCTGTCCCCCTGCCTGGAGCATCATCCCATAGTTCTTCAGGGGATCCTACTCATCTTTTAGCTCTCAGCTCAAAGCTGTCTCCTCAGCAAAGTCTCTCCCGACTGCCTTAGACACTAGTTGGCTTCTATTATTTCTTTCACTCTGTCATGATTTATTTGTTTATTACTTATTACCCCTTAGTAGAAGGTAAGTTCTAAGAGGGCAGATGTCGCTGCCTTGTTCAATGTTATATTTCCAGTGACTTGAATAGTTCCTGGTATGTACTAGGTGTTCAATAAATACTTATTGAAAGATTGGATGAAAGACTGAGTAAATGAACTAACACCGAGTTATAGAGACTCAACAGTGAGTTTCTGTGAGGCAGCCTGTCCCCAACCTCAGGTTGTACATCTGTGGGATGTGGTCTGCATTTGTTAAGGCCGATGGTTGGAGGAAGGGCTGCTTTTCCATCAGTTTCCTCACCCTTTTCTGGCCATTTCACTGATCCCACGTCCTACCCCCTGAACTGGCCCAGGCTGGGTAGGCCAGGCAAACTGAAGCCACCTCTGACCTCCACTTCCACCCAGTGCCCCTGGTGTCCAAGATCTGCCCTAGTGACACCTACAAAGTGTGGAAGAGTGGCCAGAACCTGAGGGTAGACACTACGCTCCTGGGCTTTGACCACATGACGTGGCAGCGAGGGAACCGCAGCTTCATCTTTAGGGGCCAAGGTCAGGCAGGCGGAAGGGGGGCAGCTGGGGAGGGTGGGACAGTGCATGTCACCCTGACCTCTCCGTGCTGTTCTGTGGCCAGCAGACACGAGTGCTGTGGTCATGGAGATTGACCATGACCGCCGGGTGGTGTATACCGAGACTCTGGCATTGGCTGGGCAGGATCGGGAGCTACTGCTGGCTGCTGCCCAGCCCACTGAGGAACAGGTGCTGAGCCGGCTCACTGCACCTGTTGTTACCACACAGCTCGACACCAAGAACATCTCCTTTGAGAGGTGAGCAGGCACAGCCTTGGCCAGCCTGGGTGCAGTCTGCTGGGGTGCCTGCCTCACCTGGACCACTCTGCTTCCCCAGGAATAAGACTGGCATTCTGGGCTGGCGCAGTGAGAAGACAGAGATGGTGAATGGGTATGAAGCAAAGGTGAGACCACAGCTCCCAGGGCCGGGGCCACCTGTACTTTCATCTACAGCCACTGGGCAGGGGTTTCCTGACTCCTCCCCCGACCTTGGAGGTGCACAGGCCATGTGGCATGGAAGGGGAGCTAGGCTAACAGGTATCCAGATGAGAAGTACCATGTTCATGTTCAGAGCAGTGTTCTGGCATTGTGTACCAGTGTGTGGGAATCTATACATATGTGCGCATGAGTGAGCGCATACATGGCCTCATCTACCTTTACCGTAACCCTTTCGGGCAGGTGCTATTATTCCTATCTCCATATATTTACTGATCATTTCAATGGCGTCCTATTTAATCTTTACAACTCCACAAAGAAGGGATTATTGGCCCATTTTATGATGAGGAAATGGAGGCTTGGAGTGGTTTGATCTCCTTATAAAGTCATTGGAAGTAACTACAACTTACACAGCTGCAAGTGGCAGAGCTGGGGGTCTGATCCTGACTGCCTGATTCCAAAGCTGGGCCTTTACCCTTAAGACTGTGTCTGTCCTCTAGAACCTGCATTTTCCCAGCATGTGGTTCCACTGGGGAATGAAGGAACTGGCCAGTGCTACAAGCTCTTGCACATGCTGTCTCTAGATGCCCTCCCTGGTTCTATAGGTTGGGATAAGGCCCTTTGCTACCCCCCTTACCAAAACATGTGTCACTGAGTTAGAGCTGTCCATTTTTTTGCCTCTCCAAGTATAATGTGGCCCTCACAAAAGCAGGATTGTTTTCTTTGATCCAGGAATCAAACTCAGGACCTTGCACTTGCCAGGCAGGCACTTATGCCACTTAGCTATATCCCTGGCCTTTGAGGGCAGGAATTATATCTGGTTTATTCAACACTGTAACCCTGATGTCCACCTCAATGGTTGGCACATAACTTCCCTTTAAAAGAATGTTTACTGAATGAATAAGCAAGTGAATGAACAAGTTGATATGTTTACTTGTCCTAAAGCTTCACAACTGGAACAAAGAGCCCCTCCAGGACCCTTTATGCAGGGAATGCCTAGCATTTCTGAGCCCTTCCTTCTCTGTCTCCAGGTATATGGGGCATCCAATGTGGAGCTCATCACCCGGACCCGGACAGAGCATCTTTCGGAACAGCACAAGGGCAAGGTCAAAGGTAATGAGGTTGAGGTGTGAGGGAGGTGCTGTGGGATGGGAGGAGCCAGCTTCCACTTCAGTTCCTCCCTCAGTGTTCTCTTTGGCAGCCCAGTAAGAGCCATGGTGGTTTATTCAGGCCAGTGGATTTCTTTTTTTTTTTTAATTTTTTTTGGCAGAACCAGGGATTGAACTCAGGCCTTTGTGCTTGCCAGGGAAGCGCTTATTCCACTAAGCCATCTCCCCAACCCCAGGCCAGTGGATTTCAGTTCAAGCATCAAGCCCTAATGATTGGCAGCAGCTGCCTACGACCCTGCAAAATGATTCTTAAAGTGCTCATTTGGGCTCAGGGGAAAGGCAGACTATAATTGATTACTAATGTCTGCATTGTACTCAGGAGGAGAAAGAAATGTTATACATGCCATTTTATTCTAGTGGGACATAATCTGGGTAGAAAACCAGGGGACCTTGCTTCTGTGGGTGCTCTGACACTACACCTGATGCTCTGGGCATCAGCTAACTTGTCTTTAAGTAGAAACACAATTCCTACCTCACAGAGGAAAAAAGTGAAGTCAGTAGTCTACCAGTGCCTGGAGGGGAACACATATGCATACCCTCAAACTGTCCAAAAGGAAGGTGTTTTACTGGCCAGTGCCCCTAACCTGGATTGTGGCATTACTGGATGTTTCTCCTGGGACTCAAGCCTACTTCTAGTCCAGCTTTGCTTACAGGGTCCTGGCCCCTGCCCATTGGCCCCTCAATCACTTTTAGGTGAAAGTGCTCAGTGGATGTGCTGTAGGCAGGCAGCCCCACTTCCCAGGAACCAGCCCTGTGTCTAGGGCTTGAGTACTGTCCCTTCTGCTGAGGCACTCACATGGGTAGGGGCTGTGGTGTCCTCTGAGATACACCATTTCTTGTAGGCTGTAAGACACCTCTCCAGTCCTTCCTGGGAATTGCTGAGCAGCATGGGGGCCCCCAAAACGGGGTGAGTGTGTGCAGGGGCATCACTGTGTGTCATGGTGTGTCTCTGGCTCCGGAGGAGGCTTGGAGGGTGTCCTGCTTAGCATGGCCTGTGTGACCTTCTTTGCACAATGCTTAAAACCATGCCACACTGGCAGGGGAAGAGATGGGGACCCTGTGGTATCAACTGGCTGACCTGGTGTAAGGGGCTGAGAAAGGCTTATGGCCCCCACCCATATGGTACAGACCCTGATCACTCAGACCCTGAGCCAAGCCAATCCCACTGCCATCACTGCAGAAGAATACTTCAACCCCAACTTTGAACTTGGCAACCGGGATATGGGCCGCCCCATGGAACTGACCACCAAGACACAAAAGTGAGCCCCCCTGCTCCTGCTGGGGAGGGTTGGGCTGGGGCTCCAGGAGGTGCTCGGAGGCCATGGCTTCCTGCAGCGTCCCTCACCCCTGGGATCTGGGGGGGCAGGTTCAAGGCCAAGCTGTGGCTGTGTGAGGAGCATCCCCTGTCCCTGTGTGAGCAGGTGGCCCCCATCATTGACCTCATGGCGGTCAGCAATGCACTCTTTGCCAAGCTCCGGGACTTCATCACCCTGCGCCTGCCTCCAGGGTTTCCCGTCAAGATTGGTGAGACCTCAAAGCCATTTCCCCTCAGCCCTTTTGGGCAGTGGAGTGGGGCTCAGATCAGGACAGGGTTGCCAGCCTGAGGTATGAGTGGGTGGTGGTGCCTGATGGTTTACTACATCCTTAGAAATCCCGATCTTCCACATCCTCAACGCTCGCATCACCTTCGGGAACCTCAATGGCTGCGATGAACCGGTGCCATCGGTGCGAGGCAGCCCCAGCAGTGAGACTCCTTCCCCAGGCAGTGACTCCTCCAGCGTCAGCAGCTCCAGTTCTACGAGTGAGACCCACCACACCCCGTGCCTTGCCAACCCCAGCTTCCTTCCGTCCCGCTCTGAGCCGGCCTGGCTTTCCCTCCCCACCCCTGCACGCTGGAGGGCCGGCCCACGCGTCACCCAGAGCCTCACGTCCTCAGCCTCGTGCCGCGGCTGCGAGATCTCCCCGGCCTTGTTCGAGGCCCCACGAGGCTACAGCGTGCTGGGCGGCCAGCGGGAGGCAGCCACTCGTGACGAGGACGACGACCTGCTACAGTTTGCCATCCAGCAGAGCCTGCTTGAGGCAGGCAGTGAGTATGATCAGGTGCGTCTCGCAGCCTAGCCCGGCCACGTGAGTGCGGGGACTCACAGCTAATGGGCTCCTTGCTCCAGGTCACCATCTGGGAGGCGCTAACCAACAGCAAACCAGGCACTCACCCCATGTCCTACGAGGGTCGCCGTCAGGACAGGTCAGTGCTGGTTAGGTTGAAGAGCATTTTGGAGACGCCTGTTTACAACAACCCGTTCTCATCTACTCCCCAACACACATGCACAGAGAGCCCCAGTACCCTGTCACACTGGGAGATGACGCTGGAGCCCCGCTAAGGCCCAGATAATCTGTGGTGCCCTACTCGGATGCAAGACTCTTCTCCTCCCCCAAAGGGTGGAGGCCGGCTCTGTCTTTTGGCCTTTGCGCAGCACCCTGCCCTGACACCTGGGCTGGTGCGCAGCCTCAGAGAGCTACAAGAATCGTCCCCGCCCCCAGGAGCACCCCGCCTACGCCGCAGCGCCAGCACGTGCCCCCAGCGCGGATGCCCAGCCCTCGACCCAGTCCCGGCCCCGGCTCGGGCGGCCACGTGTTCCAGAGCTACGACGAGCAGCTGCGCCTGGCCATGGAGCTGTCGGCTCAGGAGCAAGAGGAGCGGCGGCGTCGTGCGCGCCAGGAGGAGGAGGAGCTGGAGCGCATCCTGAGACTCTCGCTGACCGAGCAGTAGCGCCCCCTGGCGGGCCCTCACCCACTCCACCCCTGCAGGGTCCAGGACCCGAGCACGAAGAACTCTGGCCGGTTCGCCCACAGAGCTGCGGCTGGAGCCTGGAGCCCCAGCCTTAGGGGTGTAACAGTGCACCATGCACGACACCGGCGCAGGGTAACTTTCTAGGACAGAGCCCTGGAGGTGACTGGCACCTCCCGGTCCTCCTGCTTTGCAGTATCCTGACTCCTAATCTGCTCCTCCGGGCTCCGTTCTGTCCATGGGCGAGGTAGATGGTTCTGAAAGGAAGACGCATCCTCAGCGGAGCATTGTCCCCACCCCTTGCTCCTTCTGGCCGGTCCTCCTTTCTGCTCACTGGCCCCACACTGGACACTACCCCTGAAGCCTTTGCATCTCTGCTCTTCATCCCTGGGGGGCAGCTGAGGTCCCCAAGTGCTGTGTTGCTGCTTTGTCCCAGACACAAACAGCACTGTCAAGGGCCCAGTCCCTCCCCACCCCGGCATTTCAGCGTCAAGTGCACTTAGCGGGGTGCCCGGCTCCCCCAGTCCCCACACCCGTCCTGGATCTCAGGGTGGTCCTAGCTTTTCCTTGGGCAGTCAGAAGTTGAAGTTTCCACCCCCAAGGCACAGTTTTGTGATCAGGGAGTGGGTCCAAGGTGGTCCCGGGGCCCTGGAAAGGCCGGATTCCCTCCTGGTGCCTTGGAGAATGGGAGGGCATATTCGGCTGGGGGCAAGCGCTAGACCCGACACAAAACAGGATACAAAGGATCACTTAGGGCCCTGGCACCACCCTCCACCCCCTCCTACCAGCTGCTGCTAGCCCTCTGTGGTTGTGCATCCCTCTTGCCCTTACTTATGGGCTAAAACCCTTCATCCAATGGTGCTAACCCCCGGCTCTCCCCTGCCCTGCCTCACCCACCCAGAGAAGCACAGATCCCTCCAGGGGCAGGGGCCCTGGCCCACTGCACATCTTTGTCCTGGGCCTCTCAGACTGGCCTTCCTAGTTCAGCCAGTGAGGCTCAGAAGGGACACAAAAAGGGGACAGAAGTAAAGAGCATCAAAGAGAAACTGTTCCTTCCACTCCCTTCCCTGATGCCAGGGGCACCAGACTGATTCTGAGGCACAAATAAAGAGGCTTCAAACCGGAGGCTCGTTCCTGATTTTACTGAGGAGGAGTTCCTGGGGTGGGTAGGGTGGGGAGTCCTGCTCAGGGTGAGGAGGACTGCAGGGTGAGAGGCTGTTCAGTGAGTCCTGAGCCCAGGCTTGCATTTCCTAAGTTCTCCAAGGAGCCTGGGACTGTTTCCCCTTTGCCTGCTCCAAGCCATGCAGGAGAAACAAATTTGCACTTAGTAAAACATATCATAATTTTGTTTTCCTCAGAATTAAGGCCACAGCCAAAGCTGGTTGTGTGTGTGTGTGTGTGTGTGTGTGTGTGTGTGTGTGTGGTGTGAACCTGCTTTCTTACACCAGTTCTGAGATTTCTCTGGCAGAGTCTTCCCTGTCATCTGCCATAGACCCCGGGTCGGGGTTGCGCAGGCTGTGCATGTGTCTGTAGAACTAGGGTGCTGTCAACTCAGAACTGGGTTTTATCACTCAGATTGGTGGAGTCAAATTATCTGATAAGGAGAAGTGCCCTCATTTTTCCCACTTAGTCTGGGGAGACCTGTGAAGTGACCAACCCTTTGAGGTCAAGCCCAAACTCCCCAATATTCCCAAGCATTCTGCTAATAAATAAGCATTACCCCCCGCCTAGCGCCAAGGACAGAGGAGGATACCACCTTGCCACACAACACCATTGCTCAGGCCTAGTGTACCCCAGTAGTCTCTTAGGCCAGCTCGAGCTGAGTTCCAGAGCAAGAGTGCAGTCTGGCCCCTGCCAGACAAACCCGGGTCTCCCATAAGCTCCTTTCTGCCAGGTCTCCCATGAGGGCATAATTTCCTTCCCAGTCCTGCCTCCAACCCCAGCCCAAGAAGGTGAGTCCCAGACCAAAGTTTGAATTGGGCTGGTTCGTCTGTCCTGCCTGCTGGGCACTGAGCACAGTCGCTCAGCTGCACAGGGATGTGCTAGTCGGTGCCATCATCCACCAGCTCACACAGCATGTTCTCCAGAGCTGTGATGCGCTGCTCCTGGGCCTGTACCCGCTCACGAAGGGCCTTGATCTCTTCCAGCAGTGTCTCCAAGGTGTGCTGCTGCTGGGATACAGAAGAGGGAAGAGGCTGGGCAGGAGGAGAATAGAGGATGTGTAGAAGGGTCTGGGTGGAACAGGGCTGAATCTTACCGACAAGGGAGCATCACTGGCTGACTGGTTGCGGCGGGGGCCAGAGGACGGTCGAGCATCCAGGATGTTGCGTTTAGTGACCCGAAGCTCGCGATGCTTAGGAGGCACATATCCATCCCTCAGTGAAATGAGTACGGGTTCAGCGTCCTGACCGGATAACCATTCCTCTGCTTCCAGGGCAGCCTCTGGTCCGGGTGTATCTGGGTATAGATCGTCCTGGAACAGGTCTGACTGCAGGGGTGGGTGGACAGATGGAGGCATGCGAACTGTAGTGCCAGGCCCGCTGTGCTCCCTTCCACCTTGGTGCCTTGTCCCACCCCTCTCCCAGCCACTCACCTTGCGTGGCACAGTCATGATGATGGGCTCACACTTTCTTTCATGCAACTTGTAGAACCTGTAAGGGAAACAGGTTCGTTGCCCCTGGTAGATTCCCACCCCCTTATTGTCTCTGGGACGATCGGATTGGAAGCCAACACATGCTGAATGTCTACTAAGTGTGTTGTATTTTACATGCATTACCAATTTTGGCATAAATCCTCTTTGATCAGATGTTTGTCATTATTTTACAGGAAACCAATTTAAAAATGGTAGGTAAGGGAGCTTTGTGGTTGGTGCTAAAACAGATCTGTTTGATCCCCATCCCCAACTTTGTTTTCCAAAACAGCACTGCAGGGGAAGCCTCATGGTTAAGCTCTAACATGAGTAGAGGCAGAGGGAGCCATGCGGGAGGGTCCCAGCTGCTGACCGGGCGATCTCACACTTGCTGACGTCCAGCCCTCGTTTGGGCATGAAACCCATGCCCCGCTGTGGCTCTTTGCTGCTGAACGTGTTGAGATAGTGCACGAAGGGTGGCTCCTCCGTAATCTCAAAGTACCGAATGCTGCTGTCGCCCTGAAAAGCCAGTCAGTTCAGAGGAGTGCTCAGGCAGTCCCAGCACACCTCCATCCTGCTCCCTGCTCTTCCCGCCCCCAGCAGCACCTTGCCACACAAGTAGATGATGCTGGAGTCTGGGTCGTAGAAGGGCAGCAGTACTCCGTTGCTTGTGTCCATCTCCTGCAGTGCCACTGGTTCCTCGAAGTTGTTCTGCCCAAGCACATGAGGCGTGACCAGCCCTGCCCATCCTCCTCTGCTACTTCTGCTACCGCAGAGCCATCTTTAAGTTTCCTTTTGGCCCCAAATCCCTCGAGTTCCCAAAGCAGCTCTGGTGATAGTTCCAGGCTCCTCCCCCGAACACATTACTATCTTGCCCTGCACAGGTACGCCTGCGCCACTGCCACTGCATGCAGTCACCGCAAACCACCCCCAGGGACTCGGCATCACCGGGTGCGGGCACCAGTGCGAGCTTCTCCAGGCGACGCAGCAAAGCTGGACAGAAGGGTGGGTGTGGGGAGGCGGGCACTGTGGAGGCGGCGGTGGCCTCCAGCCCAGTCTAGGTGGGTATAACCTGCGGTGGGGGGCTCCTGGCCCCTCTCGCGTGATGCCAGTCCCCGGGGCACACACCCCAAGCCTCCAGCTGTGTTACCGGGTCCCACAGGCCCAGCTCTCGCTGGCTCATGCGAGTGAATCCCGTGGTGAAGATATGACCCTGGCGCGTGAAGACAGCCCGCATGGGCCTCATCCCCTCGTGGGCTGCAAACCTCTCCTGGGGGAAGGGGGGAGAAGGGAGGGGCATCACCCAGCTGCCTGCTCTGGGGAGCATGGAGGGCCGAGCAAGCCAGCAAACAGCTTGCCGATTTGTGTGCAGGAGGGGGCCGCGGGAGAGACAGAAGGGTCCTAAAGAACTCAGCTTCCCTAGAGCCAGTGGCCAGCCCCGGCCTGGAGAACGCGCCGCTCTCAGATCTGGAGCCCATAAGTGCTCTCAAAGGTTGATCCCTGCAACAGGCGATGTCTGCTGGCTCCAGGGGGTCCCAGCGAGGCTTTTGCAAATGGGAGCTCCTTGCTCCGCTCAGGCCACTGCAGGCAGGGGTGCTCCTGGCTGACCCAGCGAAGGAGCGAGCGAGAGCGCCTAGCGCGGCCTGGCCTACCGGGTCCCAGAGCGCGAGTTGCCGCTCACTCATCCTGCTGAAGCCGGTGCTGAGTAGCTTCCCGTCTGCGGTGAAGACGGCCCGCAGCGGGCGGGCGCCCTCGTGAGGCCGGGCTCGCTCCTGCTCGCGGGGTTAGTGGGTTAGAGTGCTCATCTGCCCACACGCCCGCGGCCGCGCTCCACGTGCCTGCTGCACGCCCAGACAGGCACCCGCCCCCCACACCCCAGGTTAGATTGAGGCTGGCGAGGCTATTAAGACTCCATGGGGCAAGTAACACAGGTGGGTTGCCTCTACCACTCCCACCCCACCCCAGCAGGTCAACAAGGGCGGAAAAGTGCCAGCTCTGGAGCCAGCGGTCAGGCCCCAGACCCTGGAAGATGGCGCTGGCTGCCGGCTGAGAGGAGAGGGTCCTGGAGCTCAGGTCTCATGCAGGTTCTGGTGAGAGGGTGGTTTCCAGCTTCTCCCCTCCTCAATCTCAAAGCAAGGAACCCTCCTCTGGGTTTCTGAGATGCAGGGGAGGGGAGGTAACAGGAGCAAGGCAGGAATTGCAGGGTGGGGGGCTTACTTAGGGCAAGGAATTGTGGTCACAGAGACTTGGGGAGAGGACCACTAGTCTCTGGAATAAGCAATGGGGCAGATGAAAGCTGGGACCTGGGCCAGGGTTACTAGGGAGTGGGCAGGCAGGCACTCACCGCCACCACTTGGCCCTTTCTGGGATTGATAATGCGCAGTGTCTTGTCCTTGCAGGTGGTGGCTAGCAGGCTACCATTGCTGTTCCAGCACACACTGTGGATGACGTCTGGATGCATGTCATCTAGGCTCAGCAGCACCTCTCCAGTGCCCACATTCCAGATGATGATCATATTGTCACCACCTGTCCAGAATGGCCAGGCATGGTCACCTGGGCTCCACCTTTGCTACCCTGGGCCTCCTTTACAGTATAGAGACCCTCCCTAGGCCCCCAGACCTGCACTGAGCAGGACATTCCTGGCAGTAGGATGCCAGGAGAGGATGCCCACACGCTTGGAATGGCCCTCGAGTGTGATGATGGGTTCTGTAATGTTGCGCACAGGGGTATAGTCTGGAATCTGCCACACCTAGGCAGGGAGAGAAGGCAAAAGGTCAGTGGGATAAAGTCACAGATTTGTTCTTCCCCTCCTCACCTTAACCCTACTGTTATCTTGAATGGTTAGGAGTCAAATACAGGCAAGGTATGGTGATATCTGCCTAGGGCAGACGTAGCTGGGAACCAGGAGGGGGCACTCGAGCTCTCCAGAGACCTACCTCCCCATTCAATCTACCACAGAGACTTAAAAGTACCTGCCCCCAGGGCCCCAAGTTGTTCATGACTATAATTAGTTCTAAGCAGTGCATCCTGGGAGGGAGTGGACATGTAGCTAAGAATAGCCTGGAAGCTGGGCAGGGCAGGGTTCTGGGAGTCTGAACCTCTCTAGCACTTTCCTTAGCCCAGGTGAGGCAGCTTTCCCTTCCCCCTTGCCCAGCAGAATCCACCTGGCTCCTACCATGATGGTGGTGTCATCTGAGGCACTGGCGATGACATTGTCATTGTGTGGGCACCAGTCAATATCCAGCACAGGTGCAGTGTGCCCAGTGACCAGCGGGTAGTTCTTGTCCACTCGTCCTGTCTGGAGGGGTCAGAGAGAGCTATGGGGTCACTTTCCTGTGGTGTGTGTGAGTATATGTGAATGCATTTATGTGTTTGTGGTCCTAGGGATTGAACCAAGGGTCTTGCATATGCTAAGCACTCTACCACTGAGCTATAAACCAGCTACACCCCTCTGTGTGTGTGTGTGTGTGTGTGTGTGTGTGTGTTTTGAAGTGGACAGAAGATGTTTGCATCTCAATTCTCTATCATCCGTTTCTCTGTGCAGACTCTCTCTGTACCTGTAACCCACTTCAGTCCACTTTCTCTGCACTTTGCTTAAGGCAGAGTCAAAATATTAGGGAACCTGGCACAGAGAAGTAAAATGACTTAAGCAAAGATCCATAAGATACTGGTGGAGCCCAGACTTTGTCTCGCAGTCTAGTACTTTTTTGGAAATCACCTACTTGGAGGAAGCAGTTCTTGAGCCTGATCCCCCAATTGGAATGTCTTTGGGAAGGCCCTGGTGGAAGAGTTCAAGGTGAGGCAATCCTCAGGGCAGTGCTCCTAGCCACTCTTGGCAGATTTCTCTCTTGTCACTGGTTTCACCTTGGAACCAAAAGTAGCAGGCAATTCTGGTGCCTACTGTCTCCCAAACTGGGGCTGGGGGTGGGTACTACATTTTTTGATCTCCATGTGTTCCTTATAGAGGTTTTGAGGCCTCTGCAGGGGCTGGCACTGGCCCAGACTAGGCAGTAATGGAGGAGGTGACTATGTGGCATTTAAATGGCAGTCATACTGCAGAAGGAGGCAGCTCTAGCTGAAATTTGAGCCTTGGGGATGATGTCTCTGGATGGTGTCTGCATTGTCTAGGGTGAGTCACTGGCTGTTGTCAAGCCTAACCCTGTCACTCGGGGGGCCTCCTCAGGAAGGTAGAGGGGCTAGAATCCAGGTCAAGAATTTTGAGGTTACACAGAAAGGTGTCAGTCATTGCCTAGCCCCCTTCCTTAGGGTGGGGAGAGTTCTGGCCTTATATGTTATGTACCCCTGCCTTTCAGACCAGTGTGGAGCTGGGCACAGTGGTATATGCCTGTAACTTAGTGAGACCCTATCTCAAAATAAAGAAGGGCTGGGGATGTAGCTCAATGCAAAGGCCCTGGGTTCAATCCCCAGTACTGGGGAAAACCAACAAACAAGAAAGAACCAGAGTGAAGAAGTAGCGATGGTCTCTTTAGAAAGAGCCTCACCCTGTTCTCAGTATGTGACTCAGAACTATGATTTGATCAGTCATTATGGGCTGGGAAGGAGGATCTCCAGTCCTAAAACATGAGGAGGTGTGGCATTAGGCAAGACAGGGACAGAATATGCCTCTGCTGTATCCCAACAATGTTTACCACCTGACTTTCTGATCTTTGGCAGGAACAGGATGCTGCATGGTGAGGTGGCAGGTGTAGGCCACTGTGACACTCAGAATGGAGTGAAGAAGCATCCCTACTATTTCCCAAGGGCTTGGGGAACAGGAAACAGCCAATCCACACAAATTGCCCTCCTCAGTGATGAATGGAACCAGGTGAAAACACAGGGGCCCTAGTCAGCGTCCAGCCGCTGCTACTTGCTTCTTTCCTTGTATACCTCACCTTGGCCAGAGGCAGGACGATGAAGGCACCCCCACCTCCAGCCTCCACGATAATGGCTAGGAATTTGGGGTTTACAGCACAGAAGGAGCTGTCCCATGTGACCTTGGATACACGGATATCCTCGTAGGTCTGATCGGCCTTTGCTGCCTGCCCAAACACATGGCGGAACTTGCTCTGCCGAACCACACGACGGCTCATGGCTGCGGCAGAGGTGGAGGATCTTAGTGCTCAGAAATGCCTTTGGTCCTTAGTTCTGTGAGCTGTGGGAGGGAGGAGGTGTGGTTGAGGAGGCAGGTGAGAAAGGTTATTTGACCAACAGTCAGGTCTTGTAGTTTTCCTCAAAGTTATGAAGGTATTGGACAGTTCTTTGCCACCTGTCAAATGATGTTTAATGTGAAGGGTTTAGAGACCTGGGCTGGGGTACAGAGGAGGCTGACAGGGCCTGAAAGCTTCCTAAAAGATAGAATGTTTTGGGAGCAGCTTGATGCCAGGCTGCCCTCTTGTTAGCACCTTGGGTGAGCATCTCTTTACTGAAGTGTTACATTTCCTAGAGGCAACTTATCCAGAATCACAGGCTTTGCCTATTGGATCTTGGCAGAAGGCCAGTTGTGGGGCTAGAACTGCAGTCTCTCTCCCCCAATCCCAAACCTGTATCTCTGACATAGATGGAGTTTTACTTTCTTATAAAAATTTGCTAAGGGTGCAGTCTCTCCTGTCAGCTAACTTGTGCCCTTCTTGCAACTGTTCTCAGCAGTTTCCTCCCACACTGCTGTGGGTGGTGGTGGGCACCACATAAGGGAGATCTCTCCTTTCAGTTCTACCTGCACTAGCTCCTGCAGGAAGCCCCAACCATGGTTTTCTCGCTTCTATCTACAGTACTTTGGATTTTCTACTAGGCTGGGTCTTCCTTCTGGTAAGCTGTCTTGGGGCTGGGGTCATCGACCCTCCCCACCCCACCAGGACCAGATTTACAGAGGTGGTAAGGGTGCAGTGCCTTTTCTCTAACCAGGGCTTATACTACTCTCCTCTCTTCACGTGAAGCCACACCAGGCTCTCGCAAAGGGACACTGGCTCCTGCCCCACCTCAGCCCAGGGCATCTCTGTGCCCTTCAAGCCGCTCCTGCAGCCTCAGGCCTGAGGCCCAGCCTCCCCGCACCCCCCTCCGCCTCCTGTCCCGACAAGGCATTCCTGCGAGACGAGGTGTCTGCGCGGCCCAGTCCGGCCAAATATAGACATCCAGTCTTCCCTGCCCGGACCGAATTTAGCAGCAGGGGCTGGGGGAGCGCAGACCTCTGTCCCCTCGGGAGACCCCGTCCGCTCCGCTGGCTGCGGGCGGCGAGAGGGTGTACCTGGTCCTAAGCCGGCAGGGGGTGTGCTCACGCTGCGACTCCTCTGCGGAGCCGGTCGGGAGTGCGCCGGGGGCGAGAGAACTGCCTCTCGGACGTCCGCGGTGTCTGGGCTCGGGTGCAGGCTGCGCGCTCCGGCCGCTGCCTGCAGCTCTCCAGGGCCGCGCTCCGCTGCGGACCCAGCTGCCGCTGCCATCAACCGGGGGGCGGGGCCTGGGCGGGGCGGGGCCAGGGCTGGCGCGGCCCCGCCCTCTGCAGCGGCGGGAAAACCGAGCGCCACAGATTTCTCTCAGAGATCTGCAGGATTCAGAAGGTTGTCAGAAGTAAGTGTGCGTGTGTTTGCGGGGTGTGTGCCCTTTTGCCACTGTCCGCGCCTCCTCGAGGCTTGGGAGCCCGTGTTCCCACAGCCAGAGCGGGCAGTGAGAGAGGGAGCCGGCGAGGGGCCCGCTCTGTCGCGCCGCATTCCTGCCTCAATTGCGCTCCGGATTCAGCCAGTCCCTGCGGGCCGGGATTGTGGGACTGCAGTCGAGGCCCGCTGGGAAGAGGTCCCAGAAGATGCGCTGCGGGGATGTTCTCAGCCAGTGGATGAGGGCCTCCCGGGAAAATGAGAGGGTACCTGACAAAGAGTTGTGAATGTTAACTGCTGTTATTAATGGCGATCGCCGTCACTGAGTACCCCAAACGGTAACACTGTGCTAGTCATTTCACCGTTACATACATTTCATGGAGTAGGGCAGAAAGCAGCCTGAAACCAGAGTAGGGAGAAAAGTGAACTCACTTTGAGCTCCCCACTCTTCTCCCAGGTTCAAGGGGAAAAAGCTGGCACAAATTTTTGGCCAAGTTTTAGGGGCCGGAAGAGCCAGCTCATAAGCTAATGTTAGCCTGATTCCTAATGCCATCTGGGCCATTTTTGAGCTGATTCCCAGTTGTGTTCCAGGAAGCCTCCCCTCTTTTTCTAAGACCCATGGATTGAATATTGGCCAAGGTCAAGGAGGAAATAAAAAAATCTGATCGAAATACAGCCAGTAGGGCTGGGGAGATAGCTCAGTAGAATAAGCGTTTGCCTGAAAAGCTCAAGGTCCTGAGTTCAATCCCCAGTACTGCAGGAAAAGAAAGAAAGAAAGAAAGAAAGAAAGAAAGAAAGAAAGAAAGAAAGAAAGAAAGAAAGACAGTGTGGGCTGGGGAGATAGAAGAGCAGTATAAGTGCCTGCCTAGCAAGCCCAAGATCCTGAGTTCTATTCCCTGTACCACAAAAAGAAAAAGAAAAAAAAAATACAGCCAGTGTTGTTGTTTACCCACTGTCTGCACACTGGATTTCTTCCTTCAGATCCTAAGAGCTTGCAAGGGAGTGTGGGCACAGATACTACTTCCTGTTTCCCAGGGCATACCTGAAGTCAATAGCATACAACGTTGTGGAAGGCAGTGACCACAAGTGGAAATAGGGACCCAAGGTAGTGAAAACCGTAAGGGTCCCCACAAGGCTGTTGACTCTGAGGAAGATTCTGGGCCACTGCATAGTGGCTTAGGGGAGCATACTCAGAAACAATACATGTGCTCTAGAAAAATTAATGGCACAAGGAACCAGAAGATGAATGAAGAGTCTAGGTATAAGACTAGGAATAGTTTTTGTGGCTCTTCTGCCAGGAAGGGTTATTGTGGTTGGAGACTCTAAGAGATAATTGCGCTCGTTCGCAGCAGCTGGCACCATGTCCCGTCTCTTGGTGCCCTGTCATGTGAAAGGTGCCGTAGCCCTGCAGGTGGGTGACGTGCGGACTTTCCAAGGCCGGCCTGGCGTGCTGGTCATCAATGTCACCTTCCCTAGCGCGGAGCCTTTCGAGTTGCAGGAGATCACATTTAAGAATTACTACACAGCCTTTTTGACCATCCGTGTCCGTCAGCATACCTCAGCACATACACCAGCTAAGTGGGTGACCTGCCTGTGGGAGTACTGTCTGATGTCTGACCCACACAGTGAGGATGGAGCCCAGGAATATGTATCACTATTCAAGCACCAGATGCTGTGTGACATGGCCAGAGTATTGGAGCTGCGTCTCATTCTGCGGCAGCCATCACCACTGTGGCTATCTTTCACAGTGGAGGAGCTGCAAATCTACCAGCAGGGACCAAAGAGCCCCACCATGACTTTTCCCAAGTGGCTGTCCCACCCAGGGCCTTGTGAGAAGCCTGCCCTTCTCCTGGAGGGTCTCCCAGACCCCAGCAGGGTATCCTCCGAAGTGCAGCAGATGTGGGCGCTGACAGAGATGATCCGGGCCAGTCACACCTCCACAAGGATCGGCCGCTTTGATGTTGATGGCTGTTATGACCTGAACTTGCTCTCCTACACTTGAGCAGTGGCTTCTAGCGAGATTTTGGCCTTTCCATGCCCACCAGTGACAGAAGTGTGTTCCTGGTGCATTCTGAGTGTTGTCTGCATGCTTATCCTGTCTGGGCCATGTCCACAGATTCAAGATTCTTGGGACTTATTATGTTGTTTCAGGATGAGTTCCTGGCAAGGGTGCATTCTTTTTTCACCTGGCTGCAACACAATTCCTTCTACCCTGACAATACTTCAGTTCTTTTTACTGAGAATCCCTGAATGCCCTCTGCCCATCCTGCCCACACGCACACCCCTGTCTTCTGTAGCTCCTCATCCTAAAGTGCAGTAAACTGGACTGAACCAGTTCCCTCTAAAAAAAAAAAAAAAAAAAAAAGACTAGGAATAAAGGACTTGAGTAACTTAGTTGTTCCTTTATAATAATAGTAGGTCACTGTAGTGGTTGGTTGTGTCAACTTGAGTTTATTTATTTATTTGAGACAGGGTCTCACTATGCATTTTGGGCTGGCCTTCTGCTCACTTTTGTAGCCCCCAGGCTGGTCTTGAACTCGTTGTGATCCTCCTGTCTCAACCTCCTGGATGGTGGGATTACCATGTCCAATTCCAACTTGAGAAGTTTAGAAGCTTAACTAAGTTGGGTCAGCGATTCTACATCCTAGGGTGTAGAGGATCCATCCTAGGGCAGCTCCTCACCAAGATGATGTAAAGGGAAATGCAGGACAGATGGGCTTCTGTTCTTCAGAGGAGCTCTAGTCTTTGCCTTTAGCTTGGACATCCTATAGTTTCTTACATTTGTATATCTTGTGTTATATCTGTTTCTCTAGTAAAACCCTGATTGATACATTCACATTTTAAGTTAGGCACTGTTCTAGGGGATTTATACATATTAATAACATTCTTGTAACAAACTTCACAGGTGGGCACTGTTATTATTCAGGTTTACAAAGGAGGAAATCAAGGCACTTGTTTACCTATACTTATCACTCAGCTGGTTGGTGGGGCTGAGATTCTTGTCCCTAAGATTTGGCATCCATGTCTTTTTTAGTACCATGTAGTTGGTTTTTTTTTTTTTTTTCTTTGTTTTCTTTTTTAGTGTCATGTAGTTCTGCCTCTCTTTAAAGGCAGTGCCACTTTATCTCAGGGTTATCCTGTGTGGTACAGAGAAAGGGTTACCTGGCTTAATTAGAAAATTGAGGGTCCAGCTCTGGTGTAGTCATCCAGTTTTTACATTCTGGGCTATAAAATGAAGAAGTCTTTGGGTCAAGTTCTTTTTTTTTTTTTTTTTTGGCAGAACCGGGGATTGAACTCACACCCTTGTGCTTGCCAGGGAAGTGCTTATTCTACTGAGCTATCTCCCCAGCCCCAGGATCAACTTCTAATTCTGCATCTTTTGTGGGTAGAGATTTAGTATGTTGTTTCCTACTCTGAAACATTATCTCTACATTTTCCCTTCACTTTAAAAAGAACTGGGGATGACTCTAAATCCCTCAGTCCATCCAGCCTTTAGTTCTATCATCTGGGAAGAAGGGTGCTCTCTGGCTACATGAGCAGGGATCCATAGGTATTTACATGGGCCTTGCTGGTTCAGTCTAGCCCCTCAGCTTTCCTGCCAAAGCTTGACAAAGTTGTGAGTGGGTGGAGTCAAAGCATAAAGAATCAGAGGAAAAGCTCCATTTGAGCTTGGAGCTTCCCCTATGAACTGTCAGCTGGGCATTGGACTGCATTCTACTGAAGACAGGCATAAATCTCATTCCGTAAGGTTTTTTTTTTTTTTTTTTTGAGACAGGGTCTAAGTAGCCCAAGCTGGTCCTGAACTCACAATTCTCCAGTTTCACCCTCCCAAGTGCTGGAATACAGGCATGAAGCTTTCTGTAAGTGTTCTGGCAATTTGGCCATGATTTTGTCCATCTGCTTCAGCTTGAAAGCCAAGGTTGAGCTTATTTACATTGGTCAGAGACCCCAAGCACTTGTAGGATATTCTGTGACTTGATCTTACCTTTACCATTGTACATTCCCCCTAGAGCCAGAGATGTGCCTTTTCACTTGAAGCATGTGATTCAGAAGGAAGCAGGATGACTTCATTTTAATTAAAGACAGGTGTTTTTCTGGAAGCTTTAGCAAATTTGGTGGGCAGTTGGGAAACTGCTACTCCTTAGAGTAGTGATAAGTGGCACAATTAAACATCTCATGGGTCTGTGGAAAAGTAAAAGTGGAGCCACTGTTTCCAGCTCTTTTGTGACAGCTGCCTTTTGGTTCCATCTCCCTCCTGTACAATTGACAGCAAATGTTTTTCCACTTTCTTTCAGTGAGTTGAGAAGCTTTGTGCTAAGGGCTTGTTAGCTGTGCCTCACTAATGTCCAGAAAGGTCACTCACCTAACAAAGCTAGTCTTGGCTGGGCAGGTCACTGCAGCTGACCCAGATTAGTCACTCTGCACCACAGATGATAGAGGAAGTTTTTGTCCCTTTGCTATTCATTCTAATATTCACTTGGTGGCTTTGACAAATGTCTCTCTGACCAGGCAAGTTCCCAGCTTGATCACTTGGTTTTTAGTAGTTTTTAGTCACCTTATCTCCTAACCAGTCTTTTCTTTTGTGGAAAGTTACATTTATTTTTTCTCTCTAAAGTTCTTCAGGATATGCTTGATTGGAATAATCAATCAATGTTATCAGTGCTCTCGTCCAACCCCTCCATCTCTAGCATGCCCCCGCCCCAATGCATTTGAAATACACATTTCATCTTCAAAATAAAAATTTATTCAGTCTGTAACAAGAACATTGCATCTGCACATTTGCGCACAAGTTCACATTTAAAAACAGCAGAGCACATCAGTAATAAAAAAACTATGATACAAGTGGAACATCCCAACCACCAGGAAGATTAAGGAAGGAGATGAGACCACTCTTTATATTCTGCTTCAAATGCCTCAAAAAGGTCCCAGAGATTCCAGGGAGCACCTGCTTTATTTAATAAAATGTGAGCATAAAAGTTGAAGATAACCTAGGACAAAGGTAACAGTCAATGGGAGAGTCATTTGGACTTGCTTTCCATGTTTAAAACAAGTCCTACAAAATAAAACAAAACCAAAAAAAAAAAAAAAAAAAAAAAAAAAAAGAAAAAAAGAAAAGTAAGAAAAAGGCACCGTTAGCTATGCCAAGCAAGCCAAAATCCAACAAAATATAAAAACCAAACACTTTTTGGTGGGCTTCTTGATTAGGAAAGTTTTCAGAGTGTTTCCCAGTTTTCAGTTTGGGTCATCAGCCTGAGTGAAGCCCTGGGTATCAGCTCTGCATATGTACATAGGATGCTGCCACCAGCATTGCTGTGAGGACCCTGATGGCAGCACTAATCATATACCTCTTAGGGAACTTTTATGCTGATAAGGGATGGTAATTCCAGTTTAGAAATCCTGTCCTAGGTCTCTGGGGCACTGAGAAGATGAGGCTGGTTTTCTTTTCATAGCAGAAGCCAGGCCCAGTCACTCTCCACTTCCAGGCTGGAAAAGTACAGCAGCACCTTACAAAAGCTCTCCATGGTGTCAAGGGACTCCAAGCCCTGGGAGAAAGATTAGGAGTGTGCAGCCTTCTGCGTTTGTGGCAGGTCTTTTTCTAATATGGTGTCAGGTGAGTTGAGGCAACAAATACACTTATGTCTAATACATGCCTTGATCTTTTGGTTTGAAAGGGAAAACAAAATCCACAATGTTTTCAAGTTGGATTGGTGCTGAAACAACTAAAATTTCATCTAGTCTGTTGTTAAAAAGGAAAACAAAAACTGTACTAGCCATTCACCATTATGACCATCACTATTAAGACATCATCACTGAGGAAATGATGACTGTTCCATAGAGAATACTGGGTGGGAGTGAAGGACACAGATGGGAATCAACTCCAGGTTTTACCACTTATCCACAGGGCTGACATTATGGCATTGCTCTGTGTGAGGATTCACAGGACATTCAGGGCCTCGGTGTCTGAAGGACTGAGTGGCCAACAAAATGATGCATATTTTAATAATCACAATGTAAACAAAGTATCCACAAGTAGTTATCAGAAAAAGCCAGAAAATGGCTTAATTTTAAAATGCCCTTAAAAGTGACTTTTTGCATATGCTTTCTTAGGAAAAAAATAAACAATTCCCACAACACATTTTTATCAAACATGCCTAGATCACTTCAGGATGAAATCCTCAAAAGAAGCAGATGAAGATGTCTGTGAGATGGTGTGTCTCAGAAGCTTCTCATAGGAAGCTTTGGGTCTACTTAACAGCATTTGTCTGGAGCCATGAGCAGGAGGGAGGATGTCAGAGCCTGGGCTGTCATCATCAGGCTGTCCTTAGAGCTCTTAGAAGTTCTCAAAATGAGAAAAAGAAAATACCATTTGGGACAAGAGCAGGAAGAGACTAAATAGTCTACAGAGGCTGAGATGCTAGAAATGATCAAAACAAATATTTGAAATAGAATCTGAAAGCCAACCAAAATGAGGAGAGATAAATACTACTATACCATAGCTCAGTATGTTTACTATAGTATACAGTACTCCTAAGAGTTTCTGAAAATCAAAAAGGGAGTGGGATTTCTCTCCTGCTGTGGGCTCCTGGGGCTTTTTAACCCATGCACTGAAATGTCAACTCTTTGTATACATGCATAAACACACACACACACACACACACACACACACACACACACCCATCCACAGTTACTGAAAGACTGTGATCATCTTTAAGAAGACAGTACTTGGCAAGAAGTGAGTGAAGTACTGGACAAAAGGTCAAAGTTTTTTCTGCTCATCTCTGTTCATTTACCAAACCTGCTGTCTGAGGCCTAGGTTTTCCATGAATGGAAAAGGGAAATAAGCTACATGAAATTTTCAAGTTTTGAAGGAAGAAGTCCAAAAAGTCCTCATCAGCTTATTCTGCACCTCTCCTGGACGTTGCTCAACCATATACATAACTCAGGAACACTCAAGAGGGGTTTTAGAGGGCTGGCAAATTCCTTGGTGGGGTTAAATTATAGGCCCTATGATGTAGAAGATGTTTAATTAGGCAGGTCAGTTAAATGATTAAAAAAAAAATAAAGGAAAGCAGAGCAAGATTGAATCCTCTATCTAAAAAAGTAAAGTTTGTATTTTTCACAGCATTTGATTTTCCTCCCTTATTAACTGCTATTAAATGTAATCAGAGTGAGCATTAAACATGGTGGCAGGTGAGAAGGAACAGTGCCATACTGTTGATACGACTTGTACTTCCTAATATGTGGGATAGTTGTGCCACTCTCTTGACCTCCATGTAAATCCTTTCCCCACCTCTGTCACAATTTATTGTCTTCCCCATCACATTACTAGTGGAATTGCTTCAACAAGACAGGGTAGTTTAGATGGATGAGCCCTAGAATTCATCACCCTGTTTGACAAGCCTCACACTGGCATATATACAACCCAACAAAACACTTTACAACACATAAATATCCAGGAGTCACAAAGCTGTGTGGATGACACATTTGGACATTTAAGTAAACTACTGAAGGACAGCACAGATATACATAATTATTACACCATGAAGATACTTTTAGCATGTGGTTTCTTTCCAACCTGCCTCCTGGCAGTGATGTCACACCCAACCATGGCTTCCATGTGGCAAGAGGATCCATAGCTTCTCTGGAGCACCTGCAGAAAGCCTCAGTTCACCTTTTTTTGTATCCTTTTGGTTGTCCAACTGTCTGTCCCTTCCAAACTCTGGTCTGTGACAGCACCTTGACAGTCTGTGCACGTACATCTTCCTCTCATTGTGGTGAACCAAAAACCTGTCTCTGGTTTGTACTCAGTCAGCCCTGAGCAATGTGGACATCAAAGCAGACAGGAAGCAAATTTGCAAACTTCTTCAGTTCTGATGAGCTGTAGTAGATAAATATGCTTTTTGTAAGAACCTTGGAGGCTTGTTTATGGCAGATGCTCTTGTGTTAAGGATCTCCATAGCCACAAAACAACAGCATCCTAAACACAGTTATGGGCACTTGCCTCCCCTGTGGCATCTCAGCCTCCATTAGGAGCTTCTGCCCTGGGCAATGCATATACACTTTCTGGCTGTGGTTCAGTACTGGCAAATAATATTCTAGGCTTTTAGTCTCAAACAGGTATCAGCCTTTAGTCACACTGTGATCTAACAGGAACCTTTAGGGGTTTCTCTGAGGAGGAAGTTACTAATATATAATTTGGCAGGAAAACCACCTTCAATATATGGTGCAGATTCCTATCAACAACTACCAGTTTTATTTCTGGTGTCTATGTGTTTTCCAGTTGCAACTCTATTCCTTCTTAAAAAGAATAAGTCAAAAAGGACTTCACAATATCAACAACAAAACATTGTAAGAAAGTGACATTATGTACATAAATACTGTGTGTACTTTAAAGAAATGACAAACCTTCCAGGGAAAGAAAAAAACTTACGTTAAGTGTTAAACAGTGAGAAAACAGAAAACTTTGCATTCAATGGAGATTATACATATGTAATATAACAATTAAATCTATGGAATTAAAAAATAGGCAGGATGGGGGATACAGTGAGAGGGAAATAAATTGGGAAAAATATGGCCATTTAATTCAAAAGGCCCACAGAATTATTCAAGTAATGGAAAGGGCTTAAAAACCCTACATAGGTATATTCATTTTGCAAGAACACATTGACTATTCATTGCTGTTTTTCAGACTAGACTCTACAGCATTTTAGTTGGGGGGACACTTTCACAGCACATTTCCTGGCAGGGAGGGCCAGGATGACCATCTGTATGGAATGCACCAAACCGGAAGTTACTGGGCTGTGGCCTCTTCACTCTCCTCCTGTAATGCTTTCCCCTACAGAAGATCTCTTAGCTTTCATTTGCTGTTCCCTTTTAAACTTTTTCTTGAGGGTAAGAAATAACTTGATAAATTTATAGTTATTATTATGCCTTTCTGTACTAACACACATTACAATATTAAAAAAAAAAAGAATCCTAGAAGACTCCCTTGAAAAGCAATGTAGAACATGTTTTTCAGGAATTCCAAAGGACTAGGGCAGGAAATGAAGGCTGACAATGCTCTGAAGTCCTGGCTGCCCTTCACTCAGCTGTTGCCTGAGGTCTAGAAACCATCATCATAAAGGCTTGGGAGAACACTTCTAATTTGGAGCCTCAGTGCCACCGTCTCCATCTGCTTCTTTCTCTTAATCAAGCAAGCATGCCTCTTCTCAGAGAGCAAAATGAGGTGGTGGCAGCTCACTGAAAAACAGCAATATGCCTTGATAAAGGTGTTCTTTGAAAATGAGTTTTTTATTTTTTGAGGTTTGAATTAAAAAAAAAATAAGCAATGATAAAATGGTCCTGCCATCCAAATCAATCTCTGTCCACACACACACACACACACACACACACACACACCACACACACACTAAAAAACCCAAACCCTGCATGCTCCAGGAACAGTAAAATGACCAAAAAATTATAAAATTAACCAATAAAGTGCATGTTCCTTACATATTACACCTGCCCCTTTTACATACATTTCTTTTAGAAAAATCACATGTAATAGGCTCAGAATCACATGGTGTTATAGAAAGGGTTGGTTGTCCGTTTTTTATCATTTGCCCTTTTCAGTCTTCTAAGGGGGTGAGTTCTGCCGTGTTGCTGACGGGGTGCCACGGCCAGCCCTGGAGCTGGGCCTGCATCCTGCAGTCTCTGGGTCTGTAGCAAAGGAAGGCCTCCTTCAGAACTAGTCAATTCTCGTCCTGCCCTGGGGACCAAACACTGCTGACTATAACCAAACTCTTTGGCATACTGCACAAGGGGCCTCTCCACTGGTTTGCTCTGTGCAATACACTCTGTTGTTCTGAGTTGCTCTACAAAATACTTAGTGGGCTCTGGGTTCTGGGAGGCACCTGGGTTTTCTGGGGGCTCCTGCGCCTCCATGGCATGCATGCCTGAGTCTGTTCTGATGAAAGGCTGAAGCAGTTTGAGATGAGGGGATTCAGAGAAGGCGGACTCTCTCTCTGGTAAACAGTCTTTACAGAGGTCCAGGTAACCTAACTTGGCGAGAGAAGCTGAGCGCCTCATTTGGGATGGTTTGGTGATCCCTGCCTGGAAAATCACTTGGGACTCGACTTGTTTAGTATACTTCTTTACCATACAAGGGCTGTGGCTGAGATCTTGTATATTTTCACTACTAGAGCTATGTGGGAGTTGCCATACTACCTGTGATGGGTGCAGTTTTTTCTGTAATTCCTCAATATTGTCACTAAATTTGCTAATTAAATTTAGGTTTTTGCTATTTAACTGGGAGCCCTTGTGTGGTACTTCAGTACCACCAGAGAGATGGCCCTTCTGATGTTCTTCCCAGTTAACCTGTTCTGCAGGGGGCTCACTATCTGTTGTACTGCTTTGCTTTGTGCAACCTTCCAGGTGAACCATGGTCTGGGGATGTAGGTAATCCAAGCTGGTAGGTTGTATGTGGGCTGTATAACTGATAAAAGATGCTGTTTCCAGGGCTGTCAATGGGCTGTTGCTTCTGTCTTCAGGGCTGCTCAGCATGGATGTTGGGTTGGTGGGTCTATCGTGCTCCAGAGAAGAATGAGGTGGAGGTAGCACTTGAGGGTGCAGAGAAAGCTGGTTGGGGTCCAGAGTCCTATTCAGATTTTCATCCAGTGCACACAGCACAGTGACAGACTTCTCCATTTTTACCTTTCTTAGTCCTTGCTCTTCTTTTTCTTCGCTTGTGGCTATTTTACCCCCTGACCCAGTGTGACTGAGTGATGCAACTGTGTGAGAATACTCAATGATTTCTATCCTTTTGGGAAGAGGGATGGCCAGTGTCTCAGACCCCTGGCATGAAACCACAGTCCCTTGCTCCTCTGAGACTCCCTGCTTTGTTCTAATATCTGACCCTGGGTACTCCTGAGATGCTGTCAAGGGGTGATACTCCAGCAGTTCGAGGGCTGGAACAATGGCATTCTGCTCACACTGGGATAGTGAGCTAGCCTCAGACTTACTGTATGTCCCTTTGCCCTTGCTTACTTCTGGTTCCTGGGGAGCAAATGAATATTCTGAGGTGGCTTCATCATTTTTCCCTTTTGGTGCTAGGTCTGCCATAGAAGAATCATTCTTAGAATTCTTGCGCGTAGACAATGAGATACACACAGGGGCCGTACTATGGTGCTCCTGCTCCTGCCTTAATCGCTCTTCAAACTCCAGGGTGGCTCGTCTCACAGACCCAGGGTACCACTTAGCACTTGAATGCATGCCTGGGCCCGGGAGCTCATGTTCCCCTTCAGTTGGTTCTTCTTCTTCCAAGTCTGCTGTGACTGAGTATGTGGTTATGCAGCCTTCTGCGTTGCACTTCCCTGAGTCTTTGGGTAGTTCAGAATGGGCTGTGCAAAAACCTTCATCTTGTTCCATATGCCCAGCTTTATTCTCTGGGGCCTGGGCTCTCTCAAGGGACAGCTCATGCATGGTGCTCTTCTTTGGTGTATGACATGAGTTGGATAGCATGTCTCCTTTCAGCTGCATTTGCCCAACTCCTTGACTGATGGATTCAATTTCAGTGACAATTTCTTTGACTGAAATTGCATTTTCTGAATGAGAATGCATGAAGATGTCTGGGCTGATCAGTTCTGAGATTGCCTAAGAAGAGAAAGCAAAGAGATTATGGCAAATTATAGTTTAATTAAGTGCTAGTGTTCTGCTAAATAATCCTGATCCAGAAGAAAGTTACTATGAGAACAAAAGGTGTACATTTCCATGTGTCTTGTCAGGCTACAAGAAAAACAAACACCTGGGATTCATCGAGGTCAGAGATAGGAAATTCATTGTAGGTCATATTACAACCTATTAAACTTTCTATTCTGTTTACTCAGGCAGTATTCTAATCTAGTATCTTGCTGTAAACTGAAAGGCAAGTAGCTGTGGAGGTGCCTACAATTTGCATTTTCAACTCTTAGCAACAGCATTCCAGGTACATTCATATGTCTGACTACACAATCCTAAATTTTACATGTTGCCTTCTCTGCAAGGTTTACTTGGCTTATACAGCCATGTGCCTTAGCAAATGCTATCATTCTCAGACATTTCACCCTTCTACCAGTTACAAATTACTAGATATATTTGGAAGTGGCCAAAGAAAACTGCAAAATCAGGTCCTACTGTTAAAAAAATTCAAAATTTGGAAATTGCTCCTGTAATTTTGTAATGGTTGATACATCTGTAATGGTTGATACATCTGTCAACTTGAGAAATTTAGAATTTTAACTAAGTGACTCAGCAGGGGGCCAGGATCCTAACTTTGTAAACATCCTGAGCTGCTGCAAGAGGAGGGCAGGGAGGTGGTATGAGTGCTACATCTACTCAGAGGGGTTAGCCTGCTTACACTTTAAGGAAGAAAAGAGGCTTGCTCTTCCCACCTTTTTTGTGCACTTTTTAAAAAAATGTATTTGGTTGTTTTAGGGTCTCACCACACAGCTGTGGTGAGCCTCCTGCTTTCAGCCTCCCCAGACATGGGATCACAGTCCTGTGCCACTACACCTGGATTCTGGCTGGCTCAGCCTGCCCTGGGGGCAGAGCTGGTGTGTGGTGCTGGTGCTTTAGTCCGATAAGCTATATTGCTGGTCCCCCTTTTTGTTGCTTTTGCTGTCTTCTGCCCCCTAAAAGTGTTGCCTCTGTGTCATGCCACCTTGCTTTTTTTTTTTTTTTTTTGCAGAAGCGGGGACTGAACTCAGGCCCTTGCGCTTGCCAGAGAAGTGCTTATTCTACTGAGCCATCTCCCTGGCCCCAACCCCATCACCTTGCCTTGGAACCAGCTGAAAATGGACTGAAACCTCTACAAACTGTGACTTAAATAAACCCTTCCTTCCTTAATTTGGGCACCAGGTATTTTGTCTCTGAAGCAAGAGAAGAGTAATGAAGACACTGTTTAAAGTAGGATTAAGAGCTGGCCAAATAGCTCAGCAGATTAAAGCGCTTGCAAGCAGGTGCAGGGGTTGGGGGTTTGATCCCTGGTTCACCCCCTGGGTATGCTGAGATGGCAACTGAGACTGGGTGTGGTGGCAGATGCCTGTAATCCCAGCTCTTGGGGGGCTGTAAACAGGCGGATCACTACTAGTCCGATCTAGTAGTGAGACCCTGAACACCCTGTAGACCCTTCCCTAAAATACAAATAAATAAATAAATAAATAAGTAAAGTAGGATCATTAGGACTATTTACTTTGTTAACATTTTTATGTATGATTTCAAAGTATAGTATTTCCTTAGTAATTGTTCTGGTCTTTCTCCTTCAAAAGAGAGGGCTGGGGAGATGGCTCAGTGGAATAAGTGCTTCCCTGCCAAGTGCAAGGGCCTGAGTTCAATCCCTGGTTCTGCAAAAAACAAAACAAAACAACCCCCCCCCCAAAAAAAAAAAAAAAACAACCTTTAAATCAGGCCTCCAAAAAATAAAAAAAATCCTTCTCCTTCAAAAGAGAGATTCAGCTAGTACAAAGGACAATCATGCCTCTGGGGGAAGTGCCAGGGCATCAGGAAGAGGGGAACTAGTCACTGGAGAGAAGCCACAGGGGCCTGGTGTGTGCATTGGCCATGGAGGGAGTTCTTATATGACCAGTAACTCTGCTGGAAGGCTATTTCTGTCAGTGCCACTGCACTCATTGTTGGTTTAATGGACAGCTAAAGCATTCAGACTTCTATTACAGGTGCACACCTGTAATCCTACGAACAAAACAGAGACACATAGGCTTTGGGAAGGGGAGGATAGGAGCAGAAGCAAGAGTGTTTGGGGTGGATGAGTAAGGACAAGGTAAGGTAAATGTAAGTAAAAATCAGGAGATGTAAAGAACAGTCAGCCTGGTTAAAATCATTAACTGAAGTTTTATAATTTTAGAGTAAATATTTCACTTTCCTCAACTATTGCATGGCTTTTTTTTTTTTTTTTTCCCAGAACCGGGGATTTGAACTCAGGCCCTTGTGCTTGTCAGGCAAGTACTTATTCTACTGACCTATTTCCCTGGCCCCTATTGCGTGGTTTTGATTTAAGACACGTGTTGACAATATACTTTCTAATTTCAGAAGTATCAAAATGAGTGTGTTATTTGACACATAGTACTTTTTTTTTTTTTTTTTTTTTTTTAAATGGCTATATAAAACCTCATATGCTATTGGAAAGAATCACAGAATCCAAGGGCCGGCCAGATAGCTCAGTGGACTAAAGTGCCTACTGAGTCAGGTGCAGGACCACATTTGATCCCTGGAGCGCTGTGCTGGCTCCGCCCCTTAGGGCATGCTGAGACTGAGACTGAGACTGGGTGTGGTGGCACCCCTGTAATCCCAGCACTTGGGAGGTTGAAAACAGGAGGATCACTGAGTCCTATCTGTGTAGTGAGACCCTGTACTAAACATAAAAAACCCAAAAATCAAGAAACAAGAATCACAGGATCCTATCTGCTCTCCATTTTATTTTTCCAAATCAGCCCTTGATTCTTGATTAACACAAGACAAGATGAAGAATTCAAAAGCATTAACTGCAAGAACTCAGCATGGGAATCAATTGCTACTCCAATGACTTTTTTTTTTTTTCAATTCTTTTTTTTATTTATTTTTATTGCTTTATTTTTTTATTTATTTTTATTTTTCAACAAATAATACACTGCATATATTCTTCTTAGTGGTTAATTGCTGTACAAGATGCAGACTTGTGATCCTATTTACAAACACCATTAGAACAAATCATTCTATTCATTAACAGAATGTAACTATATATCTATCCCAACCACTTTGAATACACAGATACAAAATGGACATTCATCTGTATACCCCATTTTTTCTAAGTTCCGTTATTGAATATTATAGGTGTGTAAACTCAGCAAAATATTCTTAAAGAGTCCAGTAGCCCATATTAGCATTGGGTCTTCTGTTTAACTGGCAATGTCAGAAATTATTGACCTGAGTCCCCCACAGCTCAACTTAACAGCACGGCTTTATTTATTATAATTTCGTCTTCATACTTTTCTGCTGTCCAATGACTATTTACATAAGCCTAACCTTTGAATTTTCTGAGACAAAAATAATTTCTTGCTAGGTGTGGTGGTGGGAGGCTGAGTCAGGAGGATCTTGTGAGCTTGAGATCAGTCTGGGCTACAAAGTGAGCTCAAGGCCAGCCTGAACTGCATAGTCAAACCCTGTCTCAAAAAGGCAACAAACAAAGAATTTTCTGGGCCATTGAGATAGCTCAGCAGACTAAGCACCTACTTAGACAAGTGCAGGGACCAGGGTTCTATCCCTGACACAGCATGCCATTCTGGTCCCTCCTGGGCATGCTGAACAGGCCACTGGGCATGGTGGTGCACACCTGTAATCCTAGCGCTGGGGAAGCTGAAAACAAGAGTTCAAGTGAGACTCTGTACCAAATATATTAAAAAAAAAAAAAAAAAAAAAAAAA